CATCACAAGCGTTCAAACAGCAGGTAAGTGAAACACGGTTTCATCAGTATCCAAGAACACGTTTTTGCACCAACAGACAAACCAAAACAGAACTTGGACTGGACTTCAATTCCAGCTTGGGCCAACTCAATTTTTGGCCCATTAGCCATTGCATCATTGTGCCATTTCCTTTCACATTGCAAGTAATTTTGGGATTTTTGAGGAATGGAAGGTAAAAGTTCTTGCATTTGGGTTCTGTGGTTTTATCAATTAGTGGAACTTTTAATTTAATCATTCATCCACCCAGTTCCATATTTCTTCATACATGTAGTCTCAAACCTTTCTGCATGTTGCCAATATCTAGCTGACTAGGTCTAGGCGATCCCAATTCAGTCACGAAGCAAGTGGTCTTTCCTTCTCTTTGTGATTGCTTGGGTTGTAATTTGTGATTTAATGCATAGGGAGTGGCTTATATTCTCCACATTGTGATTGGGTGGGACCACTGATTCTGTGAAGAAGCTACATCACCGTGTAAACTTTTTCCAGTTAAATTGACTGTAAATGTATCTTTGTTCTGGTTTTATGCATCTCCAGGATGGTTTGCCGAGGACAGCATATAAAGGAATAGTTGTTTTCCGATACCAAACTCAGAGGCGTTTATTCCTTGTTGAGCCAGAATCTCTCCGTGTTGAACCTTTGTATCTCTCCAAATGAAGGAATTGAATAATGTAAGCTCATGACTTTTTGATTGATTAATAACCTCATCATCACGGCCTACTGTATCAAACATCCCGGCCCACAAGGCACCATGTAAGGTTTAAGTAGTAGAGAAGGGCGGGGTTTAGGCAAAAGAATAAACTTACACACATGCACTAATTTTTTTCTGGCAAAATCTTATTTAATTGTATTTGTTGGAAAAGAACGACTCTTCTGGAGGTTTTGGATCAATTTTGCTTTTGTAACTTATTTAATTGTATTTGTTGGAGGAAACAATTAATTTTTCATGAGGAATGTGAAATGGGCTCTATAGGTGTACTACATAAAGTCAGGTATAAAACGTGTGGGATATATATATTACACGTTATTGTACACAAGTCGTCGGGTTTGGTGGGGAAGCAGAATGATTGCAAATTCGGTAAGCAATCGACAAACTTGAATCAAATACCAATAACAATAAATATACATTAGCANCAATAACAATAAATATACATTAGCAATGTCTTGAATTTAAGGGGTGTATTCATTTTATAAACTCTTTTTTAAGTGATGGACTTTCATAGAATACGTGAACTTGACTTTTATAAATTTTGATAAAATTAATGAAAGTTTTTCATAGGTTTCTTTTATAGATTTTTGTAAAATTCAGACTTTTATTTTAAAAATTCTCATGATTATAAATTGATTTTTAATAGAAAAAAATGAGAAAATGGTGAAAAAGAATTTTTAAATATAAATTAATCTTTTTCATAGTAAAATGATGAAAAAGAAAGCAAGAACGAAATGAGAATATTGAAATGTGAAAAATAATACCTACTGGATGAGAAAAAAATATTGATTTCTTGTATCTTATGAAATAGAAAATTGAAGGGGAATTGAAGAGCATTTTTCATTCTCTCTTTTTCTTTTTTGAAAGTCTTTCAAAATCTTGATATTGTATTTTTTATTTTCACTTAAAAAGTCAGTATCTGGGAATATATAATAGTGACCCACAAAATAGTGGGATACATTCCGTGATCAACTCGAACTTATGAAATTAAGGATGCCTGCCGTGAGTGGGTAGTGGACCTACTGGCACGATACAAGGAATACTATGAAGAGCGTGCGGTGCGCTTCCATTCCAGAATTACTATAAAGAATGTCAATTAGTGGCATGGCAAACCCTGTTTTCCAATGAGTCAATGTTCCGTTATCATCGGTTGATGTCTTGATCAATAGGCGAGACAAGCATAGCAGCGTGAATGGCCTTGTTTTCAACTCTATTTGGGGAAATTAATTCATCAACCTTCTCGATTTACAAAATATATTTTTTACTGTCATAGTAATTCGTAGGGGTGTAAGCGGTCCGGTTTTTGCGATTTTTGACAAATTTTCAAACCAAACCGTTTTGACCGGTTTGAGAAAAGCTCAAACCTAAACCAAACCGTTTTGACCGGTTTGAAAAAAACTCAAACCTAAACCTAACGGTTTGGTCCGGTTTT